AAGTTGAACTGTCACTAGGTTGAACTGTCACTATGTTGAACTGTCACTAGGTTGAACTGTCACTAGGTTGAACTGTCACTAGGTTGAACTGTCACTAAGTTGAACTGTCACTAGGTTGAACTGTCACTAAGTTGAACTGTCACTAAGTTGAACTGTCACTAGGTTGAACTGTCACTAAGTTGAACTGTCACTAAGTTGAACTATCACTATGTTGAACTATCACTATGTTGAACTGTCGTGAAGTGACGTGCGATATAATATTCGAGGTAATCTTTCATCGGTCCTGCACTACAGAGCAAAGGCCCCACTGAGAAGCCTGGTGCATAATTATTATTATAACAATAATTATGCTGTTATTTTAGACTGCGAAATGGCAGAATGACTGAAAATCAGAATGATGTTGATAAGCGTTTTAGTTTGATTGAATTTTTTTACCTTCTCAAGGAAAGTAATTTTTTTTAATTCTTGAATCGCAAGATTATGAGTCCTTTGATGATTAAATAACTTATTCAAGCCTCTATTAGAAAACAATTGCACTATTTACTGCCAGAGGTAATTTCAACGATACGGAAATTTCTAGAGCTTGATTTCCAACTCGGATCTTTTCATTGATTCAACCTAACATACCATAATTCAACCTAACATACCATAATTCAACCTAACATACAATAATTCAACCTAAAATAGCATAATTCAACCAAACATACATAATTCAACCTAACATACCATAATTCAACCTAACATACCATAATACAACCTAAAATACCATAATACAACTTAAAATACCATAATACAACCTAACATACCATAATACAACCCAACATACCGAAATTCGACCTAAAATACCATAATTCAACTTAACATACCGAAATTCGACCTAAAATACCATAATTCAACCTATTATTCAATAATTCAACCTAACATACCATAATTCAACCTAACATACCATAATTCAACCAAACATACCATAATTCAACCTAACATACCATAATAATAGTAAAAACATGCTGGCTCGACAAAAATAATTTCACTTCCAGTCGAGATCTCAGAACGAACTAACATTATCCTCATCAGCACAAACAACAAAAGCAGCGCTCAAATAACAGCTTGGGAAAAAAATCAGCTGCCGCTCATAAAGATTTGAGCCACCTTTATTTGCATTAAATCGTAACAATTTATAATATTGCAGTTAGTCAGGGATTTGGTAGACTGACTGGACCTAAAATTTATGTTGCTTTTTAAATGAAAAATCACCAAATATTTCCTTGCTACTCAATTCTGTTATCAGCAATAATTTCATAACATCTTGCAAGTTTAAATGGGGTTTATAATGTCATTTATGAATTAAAATGTCATTTATGAAAGATATTTTGTAAACATCATGAATAAACGACTTTACCTTGCAATGGTACCCGCTGCTACACCAGAGGAGATTGCCTGCCTCTTTGATGCTCGGCTCACAACAGCTATGACATAAAAACATGTCTCAGCATCTCATTAGGTGAGTCAATGTGACCCACCTGGGCATCTCAGGCCAGAGACACGAAAATCTTCTCTCTGCCACTATAGCGCATGTTACACCCAGCGTAACTAGTGAGTCAGCAATACTCACCTAGGCTAGGTTCCTTGGTCAGCATGACACACCTAACAGTTTTTCATGCTTGCTTCAATTCCCATTCACATTTCGGGCTTTTAATTATTACTGTGAAGTGAATCAAGAAACGCACGTGCAGGGAGAAGCTGACTGCCGCGTAGACACTCGTGGAAATAAGAGGGATATTTTTCTAAAGTGCGATGCACTTATTGCGGATCATGTAGCGAGTGTAGCTAAACAAAATGGGGCATTAATGTCACATCCGCTTCGTGATCGTGCGCTAGACTTTTCAGGACAAGCGTTAGACACGCAAATGAGACACGCAAATGAGACATCCTGAGTACAAAGACTGGGCGCTGCGGCAAAATTTTTCAAGCCTCTCGTTCCAATTTGAAGAAAAGCAACGGCGAGGCTCTACGCCGCGCCGGCGACGCGGACAAAGCTTCTTACGACTTACGACGCTGCGATGTCGAGTCCTGGTTAATATGCTTGTTGTTCTGAACATGTTAATATGTTTGTTGTTCTGAACATGTTAATATGTTTGTTGTTCCATACATGGTAATATTTTTGTTTTTCCAAACGTATAATATGTTTCTTGTTCTAAAAGTGTTAAGATGTTTATTGTTCTAAACATGGTAATATGATTGTTGTTCCAAACATGTTAATATGTTTGTTGTTCCAAACATATTAATTAAGTTTGTTGCTCCAAACATGCTGATATGTTTGCTGTTCTAAACATGTTAATATGTTTGTTGTTCCAAACATATTAATATGTTTGTTGTTCTGAACATGTTAAATGTTTGTTGTTCCAAACATGTTAATATGTTTGTTATTCTAAACATGTTAATATGTTTGTTGTTCTAAACATGTTAATATGTTTGTTGTTCCGAACATGTTAATATGTTTGTTGTTCTGAACATGTTAATATGTTTGTTGTTCTGAACATGTTGATATGTTTGTTGTTCCGAACATGTTAATATGTTTGTTGTTCTAAACATATTAATAAGTTTGTTGTTCCAAACATGTAAATATGTTTGTTGTTCTAAACATGTTAATATGTTTGTTGTTCTAAACATGCTAATATGTTGGTTGTTCTAAACATGTTAATATGTTTGTTGTTCTTTGTTCCGAACATGTTAATATGTTTGTTGTTCAAAACATGTTAATATGTTTGTTGTTCTAAACATGTTAATATGTTTGTTGTTCCGAACATGTTAAAATGTTTGTTGTTCCAAACATGTTAATATGTTTGTTGTTTCTAAACAGGTTAATATGGTTGTTGTTCCAAACATGGTAATATGTTTGTTATTCTAAACATGTTATTATGTTTGTTGTTCTAAACATGTTAATATGTTTGTTGTTCTAAATATGTTAATATGTTTGTTGTTCTAAACAGGTTAATATGTTTGTTGTTCTAAACATGTTAACATGTTTGTTGTTCCACACATGTTACTATGTTTGTTGTTTTAAAAATATTAATATGTATCTTGCTCCAAACATGTTAATGTTTGTTGTTACAAACATGTTAATATGTTTGTTGTTCTAAATATATACGGGGTTTTCTAGATGAGAATATTGTTTGATTATTCGTGCGCGATGAATGCGTGGAGAAGTTGTTTGCTTCTTTGGTTGAGCATAGGAAAACTATTTTTGTTGGTGCGAAACTATTTAATTTTCAGTCAAGACGTCATACTAACACAGATGCGCTGCACATTTATTTCGGACTGAACTTAGCAGCGACTAATTACTTGAGCGATCACATTTAGTTTTGCAGCTATTATTATTTCAGAATTTTAATTATCATTATTAAGATTATTATTATTATTATTATTTCAAACACCTATTTATCGTTTGGCAATAGCAGTAACGGGTGTGACGCAATCACTTGGGTAATGATCGCAATAATAATTATATAATGATAATAATTATGATATGATATAAGGATAATAATGACAGTAAAAATTCTATTAATAAGTAGCCGGCAATCAAGGCTCTGGCCAGGACTGATCACCCCTGGCCTTAGTAAACTATATTCAATATCAGGGAAACATTGCGTAAATTGCAATATAATTGGTATGAAATTTAAAACGAGTTAAACGAGGTGCGACCGGAAAATAAGTAGACCGATGCGTCATTTAATAAAATCTCTTATTTTTTCATCTAAAGTTCTGTTACTTATCGAAGTTACTTTCAAACAACAATGCTACATTTCAAAATAATTATCTTCATCAGTTACACTGCTATTATTCTGATGGATTATTAGTGCCGGCATAAAGCTTGATCTGACCAATATTTCAGGCGTATACAAGAGGCCGTCGTACTGCCTTAAGCTTCTCAATCATCGTTCTTGTTGATTCTCTGAGCTAAGCCCAACACTTACTGTACTTATTGACAATATTATTGTACTTATATATTATTATTTACTTATTATATACATATACAATACAAACAATACAATATACATAAACAATATATGCTTCTACAATATTATTGCACAGCTTATTGTAAGTACAATAGTTATTGAACTCAATGATAGATCGTTGTTCCAAGTCTATTCGAGTCGCAGCTATACCAGCCCAATAACGTTCAGTGACCAATGCAGTCAAATCAATGAGTTACAGGAGTAACGTGAACAACGTAGTTACAGGAGTAACGTGAACAACGTAGTTACAGGAGTAACGTGAACAACGTAGTTACAGGAGTAACGTGAACAACGTAGTTGCAGGAGTAACGTGTCAAACGTATTAAATGCGGAGAACAACATACATTCGAACTATTTACTTCATAGAACGATTACTAATTATTTAAATTATTGATCCTAATTTCTTTTTTTTTAATTACTGTATCTTCGAATAATGCTTCGAATAATAGCCCCGCTGAATAATGCTTCGGGGCAATAACAACAGACAAGTCAACAGAGCGGGGCAATAACAACAGACAACAAGTCAACAGAGCGCGGCAATAACAACAGACAACAAGTCAACAGAGCGGGGCAATAACAACAGACAACAAGGCAACAGAGCGCGGCAATAACAACAGACAACAAGTCAACAGAGCGGGGCAATAACAACAGACAACAAGGCAACAGAGCGGGGCAATAACAACAGACAACAAGTCAACAGAGCGGGGCAATAACAACAGACAACAAGTCAACAGATCGCCGCAATAACAACAAAAATGAGACAAATTAAATTTAAATTTCTAAAGTTCATTTTAATTTTTTTCTCGATAAATATGACTTCAGACGCGACAGATTTTCAAGGCCGCCACATCCCCGACTCATATTCATACTACGAAGATAATTCAGCAGATTTTGTTACGAGGGAATACCTTATGAGCGAAATAAGCCCTCGAACTAAAGTGCTGTGCCCTCGGCACTACTTCGTCTACAAGGTAAGCATCAGGCACTTGCATTGCGTTTAACAATTCAATGCAATCCCTCATCAATGTGTCTATATGTTTAAACTAACAATTGTTAAATCAATTCGATAATTATTTGTATTATATTCTATAAGGGTAAAATTTTCTGTGACTTGTGAAAATATTTTAAAAATAAAAGAGAGGGAAGCAAATAACAAGAAAGAGTCTCTTGCCGAGCACTCAGTCTCTCCTAGAATTACTGAATCGCAATGAAGAGCCGACAGCTGTAATTGGAAACAGCTGACTCAGCTGCAGAACTTTGTCTCTGTAGTCTCCGTGTCTCTGTAGTCTCCGTCTCTCTGGAGTCTTCATGTCTCTGTAGTCTCCGTGTCTCTGTAATCTCCATGTCTCTGGAGTCTCCGTGTCATTTTAGTCTCCATGTCTCTGGAGTATCCATGTCTCTGTAGTCTCCTTGTCTCTGTAGTCTCCGTCTCTCTGGAGTCTCCGTGTCTTTTTAGTCTCCATGTCTCTGGAGTCTCCGTCTCTCTTGAGTCTTCATGTCTCTGTAGTCTCCGTGTCTCTGTAATCTCCATGTCTCTGTAGTCTCCGTGTCTCTGAAGTCTCAATGTCTCTGTAGTCTCCATGTCTCTGTGGTCTCCATGTCTCTGTGGTCTCCATGTCTCTGTGGTCTCCATGTCTCTGTGGTCTCCATGTCTCTGGAGTTTCTGTAGTCTCCGTGTCTTAGTAGTCTCCGTGTCTCTAGAGTCTCCATGTCTCTGGAGTCTCAATGTCTCTGAAGTCTCCATGTCTCTGTAGTCTTCGTGTCTCTGTAGTCTCCATGTCTCTGTAGTCTCCATGTCTCTGGAGTCTCCATGTCTCTGTAGTCTCCATGTCTCTTGAGACTCTGTAGTCTCCATGTCTCTGTAGTCTCCATGTCTCTGGAGTCTCCATGTCTCTGTAGTCTCCATGTCTCTTGAGACTCTGTAGTCTCCATGTCTCTGTAGTCTCCATGTCTCTGGAGTCTCCATGTCTCTGTAGTCTCCATGTCTCTTGAGACTCTGGAGTCTCCATGTCTCAGTAGTTCTTGTGTCTCGTATGTCTATCTGGCCTGGGAATTAATGACCTGTTCATAATGTGGAGGATTGTCTGGCCGCTCCTAAAGAACATCTGTGCCCTGATGAAGCGATGGCGCCATGGCACAAGGGGTTAAATTTGAAGAAATCTGGTGAAGAATTTGTGTAATTTTGGTGCAGAATATGTGAAGATTTGGTACAGAATTGGTGGAGATTTGGTGCAGAATTGATGAAGATCTGATGAAGAATTTGTGGAAATCTGGTGCAGATTTGGTGAAAATTTGGTGCAATATTGGTGGAGATCTGGGGCAGAATTGTTGGAGTCTGTTGCAGAATTGTTGGAATTCAGGTGCTGAATTGGTACATATATCGAGCAGAATTGGTGGAGATCAGGTGAAGAATTTTTGAAGATACGGTACAGAATTGGAGCAGACCTTGAGCAAATTGGTGGAACTTTGATGTGAAATTGGTTGAGATGTTTTGCAGATGCTTTGCTTCAGATATTTTACCAATATTGTGCGACTATTTTACGCATGTTGGACAGACCTTCTACTGATAGTTTAGAGCAGTTCCGCCGTTAGTTAGCATGTTTTGTGCAGATAGCTCGCAGTTTAAGTGTAGAAGCTTTTCTCGTAGTTTATGTGTAGAAGCCTTTATGTTGTGTTTTAGTTCAATTTTCACGTCACGAACTTATCATTTGATCATTTCAATAACTCAGCCAGCCGTGATACTAGTGTGGCACGTCTCTGCCGCACTAACGTATCATTCATCAGCTCTGATACAGCCCGTCTCTGCCACACTAACGTATCATTCATCAGCCCTGATACAGCACGTCTGATACAGCACGTCTCTGCCGCACTAACGTATCATTCATCAGCTCTGATACAGCCCGTCTCTGCCGCACTAACGTATCATTCATCAGCCCTGGCACGGCACGTCTCTGCCGCACTAACGTATCATTCATTTTATTCAGATAACAACAACGCTGGTGCTGGGAGAAGAAGCATCAAAGGAAGCAGAATCACTGCAGCGGAATTCAGTGCATTATTTAGCCTGGGAAAATAAAGACGAACGTTCGCTGTACACAAAAGCGGCCGTGGCAGCAGACCCCGCCCAGGGCGTTCCTCGCTCACATGCCGGGCAATACGGACCTGTGGCACCTGAACCTGCTCCTGCACCTGCACCTGCACCTGCACCTGCACCTGCACCTGCACCTGCACCTGCACCTCTTGGAGCACCTGCACCTCTTGGAACATCTGCAGCACCTGCACTTCTAGCACCTCTTACCTCCCAAGCACCCCCCGGTCCCACAGCGGACATCGAGGGTCAGTGGGTACGAGAAGAAGGATCTCTTAACCGAACTAATGAGCCTGGAACGCTCGGCGACGGTGGTAATGGACCGCAATACGATGATTCTCTTGCCATCATCAATAAGCAGCAGCATGGAAATGAAGATTATAATGGGCTTGGCCGCGATAATTTATTGAGAAATGAAATCAGGCACGGAAGTGCAGTAAAGCTTGGCACTAAACTGGAAATTCCACAGCTGAATTTGTACGAAGAAGTGAAGGATAACATTGCTGATGAAGATGAGCAAGATAAACTCATGATCTTCGCCAAACAAAAGCAAGGAGAAGATTACCGAGAGTTCATTGTTGAAACACAACACGTAAATGCAACTCTTTTCCCCAATCCTGAACTTGGCACCGGAAAAAACTTCCCTCAAACTCTGGGGACACAGAACATCCCCCCGCCGTGCCCCACTCTGGCGCGCTGCCTCGGCTACGCGGCCTGCGTCTTCAACTTCGGCAACGAGTTCTGCCGCGGCGACCCCCTGCCGGGGAGGAGGAAGGTGGGGACCTGGGGAGTTGTTGGTGCTACTTAGGTGGGGAGATGGGGAGTAATTGGTGCTACTTAGGTGGGGAGTTGGGGAGGAGTGATAGGTGCTACTTAGGTGGGGAGATGGGGAGCAATTGGTGCTACTTAGGTGGGGAGTTGGGGAGGAGTGATAGGTGCTACTTAGGTGGGGAGATGGGGAGTAATTGGTGCTACTTATGTGGGGAGTTGGGGAGGAGTGATAGGTGCTACTTAGGTGGGGAGATGGGGAGTAATTGGTGCTACTTATGTGGGGAGCAGGGGAGTATATAGTGATAGTGTAATGTATGTAGGCCGCAAATTCCCTACTTGCATTCAGGCCGCAGAGATTGAGTGTACCGGCGCTGATGGCCGAGGCTGGTGGTAGTAGCTGTGTCAGTCCCGGCTTGCGTACTGGTGCCTCGCTTACAGGGAGTTGGGGAGTAATGATAGATTACTGGTGCTTAGGTGGGGAGTTGGGGAGTAGTAATTGGTGCTACTTAGGTAGGGAGTTGGGGAAGAGTGATAGATTATTGGTGCTTAGGTGGGGAGCTGGGGAGTGTCCGGTTATATTTAAAGGGCAGACCTCACCTGTTCCAACTGACGCCCACCTACTGCCCCCTCCTGCCCCCCACGTCTTCAAGGGCAGCGTCTCCGACGCGGCGATCCTAGACGCTGCCGCCCCCACATACAGGACCTGGTAGGAATAGCACTGAGAGTTGCGTAGGACTTAATCATATCAAAGTAAATTAAATGTAGATTACAGGTAGGAATAACACAGGTAGGAATAACATGGGTAGGAATAACACAGGTAGATAACAAAGGTAGGAATAACAAAGGTAGGAATAACATACGCATTTATTGCTGCATTGTTCCGAGCATCTTGCACAGAAAAGAGTTGCAGAAGATTTAATTTTACAACGATGCAACAGGACTTTTAAGAGAACGCATTTATGATATAAATTTGTAAGAACTGTAGGATATAAACTACATGGAGAGGCATGTGCTCTGTAGGACTTGCCAGAGATGTAAAAAAACGATCTTGTGGAATTGGCGGAATTTCACGCGAAGAATGAAATATAACACGGAATTGCAAATGATAATGTTTACAGCCACAGCATTCTAATTAGTACAGTAATTTTTGCACTTGTTTCGTGGACGAAGTGTTATTCAGATATCTCATACTTAATTTGAAATAAATATACATTTTATGATGAATGCAGCAGCTCACGTGAGACATTGAAATACTGTAATATTAACAAATTATAAATAAATTCGGAACATTGATTATTTCAGTTTATATTAAGTCATATTGCCTTCACCTTAATGCAGTTGTAATGACTCTATTATACCTGCTTTGACATTGAGATAACACATTTATTTTCTTGTGAACGCTTTTGAACGTAAATGTCGCTTAATGGCCTGAGTGCCGTCCGGTGTAGCGGGAACTGCTTCAGGCCGCGCAAGCCACGATGTTAATGCCAAACTGCAATTTATATCGATTGACAAAAACTTTTAATTATATGAATGCGATGAAAATGATTTTAGAGACGGAAATAAAGCAAAATTAGAACAAGGAACTGATTATGTTGGGTTAAAATGAAGAAATTGCTATAGTTAGACACATCTAGTGTAGACACGTCTAGTGTAGACACGTCTAGTGTAGACACATCTAGTGTAGACACGTCTAGTGTAGACACGTCTAGTGCCGACACGTCAAGTGTAGACACGTCAAGTGTAGACACGTCTAGTGTAGACACGTCTAGTGTAGACACGTCCAGTGTAGACTAGACGCAACAATAGTTCTTAAAGAATAATAACGAAGAAATGAATAATGTAATAATATAATGAATGAAGTATTCAAAATTTTAAATAATGTCTGTATCTGTTGGCAGCTGCTGGACGTGAACGTGACGTGTCTCAGGAAGGAGCTGGTGCTGATGGCACCGCCTTCGCCGCCTGCCGGGGACGGTGCCCTGCAGTTGCGACTGTCTCACGCGGAGGTCGTCAGGAGGCAGAGCCACGTGAGAGATGCTTGATATTGAGGAGCGTTAATAGTCTTTGAAATAACACTGATTATTGGATAATTGTGTTCCATTGCGGATATTGTTGTATAGATAATAATTAATTTTAAATTATTGTTAGGGAGTAGTATCAATTTATAAAAATCAATAATTATTAGTGTTAGTAATGGTAATTATTCAATTTATGTCTGGAATTTTCCGTTTCCATTCCGACTGTTCCGGATTTTAGGTTTTCATCATTTCGATCTTATGTCCATTCATGTTTCAATGGACGCGCATCCGTGCACCACCAATTTTGTGCACTAATCAGCCCTGAATGGAACGCCTAGCATATATTCGTATGACCACCAATCAGCCGCGGATTGAGCCTGCCGTCAGTAACCAGCCCACGAAATCATCTTGCTTTAAATATTACCCCTCTACCGCCTGACATGAGTAACCGGAGCAATATTGTCACGCGCCTACTTCCCAAAAAGGATACGTTCTAGTGAGCGCAAAATGACTTGCACTGATGGTTGCCGCCACGTACGACAACTTCAAAATGTTCTCTGTTGCGTACAAACGTCCTCAGGTTGCTACACTCAATAGTTTACGTATAATTTAAGTTGAAAGTTTAACTTTAAAATGTTCTCTGTTGCGTACAAACGTCCTCAGGTTGCTACACTCAATAGTTTACGTATAATTTAAGTTGAAAGTTATGTTCCCGGAGAGTGACACACGGCGGTAGAGTGTTAAAAGCTTTATGCCACCATATTATGAAGCGAATAGCCGAGAGTGTAATGATCGTCCACCACTGAAGATTGCATCGAAACATCACTTCATATCCTGACTAGGGCTCGAACTGTAACCAGCAAAAAACAGACTGCCACTATTCAGCCAAGCTCTTCTGGGGAACTGCATGAAACCTGCCGTGCACCACCAGACCGCGGATCGAATGCGACTTTCGCGATATCGATAAATTACGTAATTTTTCATTCACAGCATCTGAAGTTGAGTTTCAGATGGCATAGTTCTGTTCCTTAAATCTATCGTCCTACGACGCGCGACCGTTCGACCGTGGGCAGATTCGACACACGGGACAGATACGGACGGGTCGGTGGCGGGCATCATATTCACTGCAAGGCTCCGGCGCGCTCCGTGCTGGTATGCAGAATTTGTCCACGTATTTGCGGACGATGCTGGGCCAAAGGCTATTTTCCTGCGTGCTGATTGATCTAATTCAGTGTGTGTGATCTGTCTACTGGCTTGCGGCTGATAATGTTACAGTCATGATGTGTTATAGGCTACGTTCTTGAGGGAAGGGATCATGATAGTCCATTCGTAGTAGTGGTCTCCGACAGACATACCGTTTTAGTTACGTGCTGGTAAGGACTTCTGGATGTCATTGTACATACCCAATCCTGATATATAGGTATTTGAGATAACTCAATGCTCTATAAGTCTATATGAACTGAACCTCTATGACAGTGCATTGCACGAGTGACAGAGGAAGTCCCCCAGCATTATAAACGGAAATATGGATAGGAAAAATTGCGTACGTGTGCAGATCGTAAACCTTGCGTACGTGTGCAGATCGTAAACCTTGCGTACGTTTCGTACGCAGACTTCGGTGTGCCGGACTACGAGCGAACGAATGTCACTTCCTACGAGACAAACTTACTGCAGGTTGGACGTATTAATAACTAAGTTATATACAGTCAATAAATTATTCTTAAATGTATTATTCATCATCTTCAAACACTCCTATAATTATCTAATTCATTCAGGACCGAATCACAGGATGACTCAGTGTTGGCTACCATGAACTCGTAAGGGACACTATGGATCAATTAAGCCCAGTAAAGCACAATTAGCCCATGCAAAGGCCCAGTGGTTCCCAGTAAACCTCAGTTAGGTGCAGTAGTCCCCTGCAAAGATCAAAAAGCCCAGTAAGGCGAAATGAGGACCAGTAGTCCCCAGTAAGGCGAAATGAGGACCAGTAGTCCCCAGTAAAGTAATGTAGTCCCTGTTAAGGCCATGTGGTCGCGAGTGAATCTCAGTTAGGCCCAGTAGTCCCTTGCAAGGATCAAAAAGCCCAGTAAGGCGCAATGAGGACCAATAGTCCCCAGTATGGCTAAGTAGTCCCTGTTAAGGCCATGTGGTCGCCAGTGAATCCCAGTTAGGCCACATTTTCCCTTGCATGGCCTAAGAAGGCCAGTGAGGCCCAAAAAGGCCCCGTAGTCCTCAGTATGGCCCAGTAGTTCCTAGTAAAGCCCAGTAGTCCCCAGTAAATATCAGTTAGTCCACACACAGTCCCCTGCAAGACACAAATAAAATAACCCCAGCATACCCCAATTGATCTAATTCAATGGATGTGAGATGTCTGGTGGCTTGCGGCTGATAATGCTATAGTCGAAAGTTATCGTCAAGAAGTGTTAAAGGTTACGTTTTTAAGAGAAGGGATCCCGATAGTCCATTCGAAGTAGCGGCCCAGTGAGACCCCCTCATCCCCCAGGTGGAGGGCGCCCGCTGCGACGTCGCTGAAGGCTACAGAGGACAGTGTGGCGGCCGGGAGCCGTCCTCTCGCCACGTGGTGGACAGTGTGTGGCATCTGATGGCCAGGTGATGGCCGCGCTGTGGTATAATGTGACATAATGCCTTAAGCAGTGGCATACTGCCTCATACAGCGGCATACTGCCACACACAGTGGCAGTATCTTGGATATCTTGGATATAGGCAGGACATAATATGTATGTTATTATTATTAACCTTTCCTCATCCTCTATTTTTTCCTGAAGCGGCTCTGCCATATAAATGCAATTCACATAATATTGATCTCTAACGTCTATATCACTTAAGCAGCGATCATCATGCGTCACCCTAGCATGATTCTTCTATAACGTCAACATCACCTAAGAGGCAATCATCATGCGTCACACTAGCATGATTGTTCAATAACCAAAAGACATTCTATTCTATCTGTGCGTTCGAAACTCCAGCTGGTAAGTTATCCAACTCGGAGCAGCAGCAAATATCGACGCCACGAAACAGTCAATAAAATGAACGCATCTCAATATTCCGATGATATTGGTGCCTTTTTGATGTACAGCTGCCACTTTAATTGCAGCTCGCGCCCATGTGCCATCAATTTTATTTTCCTGAGTGCGTTTTGTTCCAATTACCAGCGAACGCGTGGCTTGCGTGGTGTTAAATGGTGAACGCCGGCTGTCGCTCGCTTGCTTTGATGGAGAACGCGGTAGGAGGCCCCGACGCTACGAGGGATGAAAGAGTACGAAAGGATTACAAGGATTACGAATGTATTACTCAAAGGCGACAATGCATAATCCTACTATGCATTGTCTCTGAGCGTTCCCACACTACCAACAAAATGCGTGATGACATCCCGACACGATAAGGATCCTGGATACGCGCCCCAACAGCCCCTATAGATTGCGGCTAACCGTTCTCATGCACACATGTGTTGTGCGTGAACCGTTCTCATGCACACATGTGTTGTGCGTGAACCATTCTCATGTACACATGTGTTGTTTCGGGAACCATTCTCATGCGCACATGTGTTGGGAATTGGAGTACACACCTCATGTGTCCCGGTCCCCCCACACAGAAGTCGCGACGCAGGCTGCAGGCTGCAGCTCCTGCAGACATTCTGCGCCTATCAGTTCAGTCCCGCAGGACTCTGCGTGCCGCCCTTCGCCCTCGCCCCCCAACAGGTGCATAATTCCACGTATCTCACGGACTAAAGTTATCATTTTCAGTTTCAAAATTTACAATTCTAATTCATGTAACAACGGTCGTTATTACTGCTTTTTGCTAGGGTGGACTGTCTTGAGCTGGCGAAAATTTTGGTGACTTAAGTTTTCTGTGTGCTAAATGATTTTAGAGAACTTTGTATTCATTATGAAAGCAGAATGATGGAACATAACAGACAAAACGATCAATATCAGCATATCAAAATTACTACTTCATTAATACCCACAGTAAATTTGAAAATTTAAAAGCACCTATTTTGCATATATATGATAACATTATATTTATACAGCAGGATTTATAATATAAACAATAATATATGATGATATGCACTGCCAGGACGCGCCTACATCTGATCCCGCAGAGCTCATACCTTCGTTCCTGTCATACCCTCCGCTGCATGACGGGTGAGACGGTCACCACCACACCCATCACCCCATACTTTATTGTACCCCATTATTGCTACTCACCCATTACACAGAGCCAGCCCATTACCCCCATTAGTAGCAAGCCTCCGCACTCCAAATGTCAATGCTTTTGTCTCATCATCGAAACCTAAATATAAGAACTGAACTTCATCCATAGGACGAAGGACAACCACTAGTTATAGCTCACATCACTAATTACATCTAGTTGCATCAGCCACAAGTTACCTCTAGTTACATCAGCCACTATATAGTTACATCTAGTTACATCAGCCACTAGTTACATCTAGTTACATCAGCCACTAGTTACATCTAGTTACATCAGCCACTAGTTACATCTAGTTACATCAGCCACTAGTTACATCTAGTTGCATCAGCCACCAGTTACATATCACGGTCTGTTGACATGACGTAAATACAATAAAAACTTAATGTCCAAAAGTTTATAACGCTATATTAGCTTTGTTAGCTTTTAACAATATTTATATATGTAATTCCTCTCATTTATTTGATGCTAACAATGAATATTTCACAATAAAAGATCATCACTCATCGGCTCCCCCGATGTAGTGTGGCTTAGTGTGGCGTAGTGTGATGTAGTGTGGCGTAGTGTGGTGTAGTGTGGTGTGGTGTGGTGTGGTGTGGCGTAGTGTGGTGTAGTGTGGCGTAGTTTGGCGTAGTGTGGCGTTGTGTGGCGCAGTGTGGTACAGTGCGGCACAGTATGGCGTCGTGCAACACGAACTGACTCAATAAATTTAGCATTAATATACGAGCACAATAGGATAATTGGACTGCCAACAATACTTGTATTGGCATACACGTAATACATGCTGTTGAATTTTGAATTGCTCAGCAGGATCTACCCGACCACAGTTCGCAATTCCGATGTTCAAAAACGAGTTAAACTTTTCTGCTTTGATCTGACTACAAAAGATATCGTATTATAATTTGTCTGTCGTCTAGGATACATAAAAGATTTACACTAATTATTTCCTTTATTTCACTCAAATTTTCAAGCTTCCCAAAGACCATCGAATTTATTTTGTCGCTTGCAACGTTTTGTGAGCTCACAAATAAATTTTGGGCTACCAAAATATCTAACATAATATTTACTCTACGAACTCCAAAATTCAAACAAATGAAATCCCACATTTGCATTAAGAAATTATATTAACAATAAAATATACAATTATGTAATAAATTGTTAACTTGCCTTGATGTCTTTCAACTGAAGTTATCTTTGGTTCAAGAAAACGATTATATTATACGATTAAATTTAACTACTCCTGAAGATGGGTAATGCCAACTACCATAATCAATAATTAGAAGCTAGAGAAATTACGATCTTTAATTATTTATTTATTTATGAATTTATTAATTATTATTATCTGTACAATAAATATCATTTAACGTGCAGCTGCAGCAGCTACAGCTGCTCTACAGTCCCGCCCACGTGTTCCTGTACCACGTGGACACGCGGCGGCAGCAGCTGCGTCAGACGCTGCAGGAGGCCTTCACCGCACACTACCCTGCAGCAACGAACATCAAGTGAGCTGAAGTTGACATCAAGTAAGCTGAAGTTGAAGTTAACATCAAGTGAGCTCAAGTTGAAGTTAACATCAAGTGAGCTCAAGTTGAAGTTAACATCAAGTGAGCTCAAGTTGACATCAAGTGAGCTGAAGTTGACATCAAGTGAGCTGAAGTTGACATCAAGTGAGCTGAAGTTGACATCAAGTGAGCTGAAGTTGACATCAAGTGAGCTGAAGTTGACATCAAGTGAGCTGAAGTTGACATCAAGTGAGCTGAAGTTGACATCAAGTGAGCTGAAGTTGACATCAAGTGAGCTGAAGTTGACATCAAGTGAGCTGAAGTTGACATCAAGTGAGCTGAAGTTGACATCAAGTGAGCTGAAGTTGACATCAAGTGAGCTGAAGTTGACATCAAGTGAGCTGAAGTTGACATCAAGTGAGCTGAAGTTGACATCAAGTGAGCTGAAGTTGACATCAAGTGAGCTGAAGTTGACATCAAGTGAGCTGAAGTTGACATCAAGTGAGCTGAAGTTGACATCAAGTGAGCTGAAGTTGACATCAAGTGAGCTGAAGTTGACATCAAGTGAGCTGAAGTTGACATCNTCACGCGACGTTACTTAGGCCGTCACGCGACGTTACTTAGGCCGTCACGCGACGTTACTTAGGCCGTCACGCGACGTTACTTAGGCCGTCACGCGACGTTACTTAGGCCGTCACGCGACGTTACTTAGGCCGTCACGCCATCAAAGGCGAGCCTAAAAACTGGAGGCCGGAAGAGGCTTTGTCCGCCCCTCCTGAAATGCGGACAAATGGCGCTCTAAATTGCATCAAATGGAATCAATAACACGGAAGAGGAGAATAATATTGTTTAAAATAGTGTAACATTTTTAAAAAGCGGGAAATGAACCTGCTGTAAATATCGACGAAGGATACTAGAACGCAATTAAAGATGATGGCAGGCAAGGAGCCAACAAACTAAAAAAACAGCGTTGGAACACATCCATGCGACAACATTTCTTCTCGCTTCGAGTCACCGACATGTGGAACAGCCTCCCTGATAGCATCGTTGACGCTCCGAGTATGAACATCTTCAAAAACAGACTAGACGAAGCTATGCAGGAGCATATGTTCAGTCTTAAAATGCCTAGCAAATTACGGACCAGGCAATAAGTCCAGCAGCTATCTCAATCAATCGTCAGCTATGGAAAGATCGGGTTCCAAAGGCCGGATCCCTTGTGAATCAAGTCACGAAAAGTTCAAGAATCGGCAACAGGCCATGGGCCTATTTCTTCAGTGCCAACACCACTTCTATTTTATTTAAATAATGAAGTTGGGTGATGATCTACCACATGGCTTGTACCACACCTACCACATGTACCACACCTCGTCAGGACTCGGCCTACGACACGGCTCAAGACTCGTCGCGACTCGGCCTACGATTAATGTGTCGCAAGGAGAGAAATTAAAAAATATCTTATGAAAAGTATAACGTAAGAAAGCCTATCCTATAAATGTTTATTTGACAAATTTTTCTTGTGACAGTTATCATGCAAAAGCAGCATCAGTTATCCTCTAGCACCCGCTCCACATCACCACCATCACCCTCCTACTCCTGTTCTTCACATCACCACATCCCTCCTACTCCTGTTCTCCACATCACCACCATCACCCTCCTACTCCTGTTCTCCACATCACCACCATCACCCTCCTACTTCTGTTCTCCACATCACCACCATCACCCTCCTACTCCTGTTCTTCACATCACCACCATCACCCTCCTACTTCTGTTCTCCACATCACCACATCCCTCCTACTCCTGTTCTCCACATCACCACCATCACCCTCCTACTCCTGTTCCCCACATCCCCACATCCTCCTCTTACTGCTCCCCGCAGGATCCTGCCGCAAGAAGAATCCTTCGTGCCGTCCTGGGGGAGCTACGGGATCGTCAGGGCAGAGTTGCAAGGTCTGCGCTACTTGCTCGAGTAAGCGGATTAGGTTACAAGAATTACTTTTTTTACCGATTTTACTGAGAATTACTTCAATTACGTCTTCAGTTACGAGAACTTTAGACTTTTTTACATTTGGGCTTCAGACCTTGACTGTTATGCGTTATAAATCAATCGATGTGATGTGTGTTATGTTAGGATCAACTCCTACGAAGCGTTTGGTTGTGCCGATGGCCTTTTAGGTTTCGGCAAGAGAGTTATGTGCTTCTGGCAAATTATTATTTCTATCAATGAACGAGAGTGTAAAACCTTTAGTCGAGAGTGTAAACCTTTAGTCGAGAGTGTAAACCTTTAGTCGAGAGTGTAAACCTTTAGTCGAGAGTGTAAACCTTTAGTCGAGAGTGTAAACCTTTAGTCGAGAGTGTAATCATTTAGTAGAGAGTGTAAACCTTTAGTTGAGAGTGTAAACCTTTGCCAATAATGTTGACTTTAATACGGACGGAAGTACGAAGACATATTGATGGTTGTGTCAATAACTTATTCATTATAGAGCAGAATTGATTATTTTTTTGCTAATGTTTCGAACAGATATAAATTATCACTAATGGCAATGAATAAAACTGTATCATTAATATTAAGTCAGTTACTGCAGAAGACTAGCCCGATTTAAAGTGAAAAAAGGAAAAAAAAAATTTATGTACAGAGAGAAGAATTCGAGGAAGTAACTTGATAATATAATTTTAATCATATTTATATTAACAAGTTACTTCATGAACATATAATTAAAATCATGTGATCTCTTCGTTTGTAATACCTTGCACAAGCATAACATTATAATTCAGTAGAATATTCGAGGGAGAAAACTACATTGCATTACACAATCAAGACTGAAAATGAAGATATATTTAGGATTTTTCTATAACATAGCATGTATATACAAATATCACAATTATGATTTGAATATTATTTAGATTTCATGTATGATTAGCTAATTCGGTTAAATTCCATAAACGATACGACCGAGTGAAAAAATTGCCATGCAGGCAGATCTTGAACTAATGTTGAGTTGGTAATAATTTAAATCTCCTTAGCTCAAGTAAGGACCAATTTACCAATAACTGAAATTGAAAACGCAATGTGATCAAGCTGATCTGAGCATAATATTTTTACGTTTTCTTAACTGAAACGTTCATTCGTTACTCACAATTTCAATTATCGGAACCAACGAACAGTTCATTCGTCACCAAGAGTTTCAATTGTCGTAACACAGAAACTGTCCATTCGTCACGCACAGTTTTGATTATCAAAACTCACGAACAGTTCATTCATCACGCACAGTTTTAATTGTCGTAATTCACGAACCGCTTATATGTCACGCACAGTTTTAGTTACCGTAACTCACGAACCGTTCATTCATTATGCACTATTTTAATTATCGTACCTCACGAACGTTCATTCATCACGCACAGTTTTAATTATCGTACCTCAAGAAAATCGTACTTCACTAAATATTTATTCATGACGCAAAGTTTTAATTATCGTAACCAACGAAAATCGTACCTCACGAAAAAATTATTCATCACGCACAGTTTGCCTCACTGGGAATTCGTGATCAAGCTGAGCGGGGCAGACCTGCCCCTGCGGTCTCCCCAGGACCTGGGGCTGCTGCTGGCCCCCTACAGAGGGCGCAGCCTCGCCACCTTCTTCAGGGTCAAGAACTTTTCCCCCAGTGCCACCAGCCTCCAGATGGACGTCTGGTCTGTATTGTTCGTCCCTATAAAAGATTTATTGCTTGATCCCAACGATAATATTATCAGTTTTATGTACAACCAATCGGAGAAATATTGTTCGGCCCTATAAAAGATTTATTGCTTGATCCCAACGTTATTATTTATAGTTTTATATACAGCGCCTCAAAGAAATAGAATAGAATAGAAGTGTCGGCACTGAAGAAATAGGCCCATGGCCTGTTGCCGATTTTGAGTGAGGATTTGTCTAAATAGGGAATTACTTTTCACCCTTTGAAGTGTCATCCTAAGCCGGTTTGGTCCGGCAGAAGAGAGTATCAGTGTTAACGGCAATTAGTGTGTAACTAATTGGACAAAATGATCAATTCATTTTTCTGATTGAGCAATCCCGAGCTCCCTAAGCCTCGTTAGGGCTTCTTCTTGAGGCCATCATGAAGAAATAATAAGAACTTATGAGGCCGCGGAATTAAGTTCTTTATAATGAACCAATTTTACGATGAATGTTATCCGTTCTTACATGCCATACATTTGCTTAACTGACCAGCCCATACACGGCGTTCAGTTGAGAATCATGATCCTTTGATGCGATGCACCGTAGCCTTAACGCAATTAAATTATTTATTATCAAATTAATTTCATAAATAAATAGAATTAAAAAAATATATATATATAAAATTTAATTTTGTATTAAAAATATAAAATTTATTCAATTTTTAGTGCATTTTCTCATTTATGAAAAAAATGCACTATTGTGCTCGCCATGTCCGTCCGTCTGTCCGTGACTTCTCGTTTTTGTCGACGAGAAAATGCGCTCTCTGTCACTCACTGCATTGAGTACTGAGTTATATTTTTATGCCGTAGCCTTAACACAATTAATTATTTATTATTAAATTAATTCCATAAAAATGGAATTAAAATATATAAAAAATATAAAATTTAATTTTACAGTAAATATATAAAATTAATTCCATTTTTTTTTTTGCTTAGCAGCAAAAAACAACCCCCTGTCCCACGTGAAGTTTGTTAACAACCCCTCCCCCGTGACGGTAGTTAATAACCCCTCCCCCGTGACATTTGTTAATAACCCCTCCCACGTGACGGTAGTTAATAACCCCGTCACCCGTGACATTTGTTAATAACCCCTCCCCCGTGACGGTTGTTAATAACCCCTCCCCCGTGACATTTGTTAATAACCCCTCCCACGTGACGGTAGTTAATAACCCCGTCACCCGTAACATTTGTTAATAACCCCTCCCCCGTGACGGTTGTTAATAACCCCTCCACCGTGACGTGTGTTAATAACCCCTCCCCCGTGACGGTTGTTTATAACCCTCCCCCGTGACGGTTGTTTATAACCCTCCCCCGTGACGTGTGTCCCAGGCACGGGTGCGGGGGCCACGTCTACAACGTCACGAGGGCGGCGGGGCCGCCTGCCACGTCTGACGTCGAGGTCCTGTCAGGGTAAGAATTCAGGGTAATCTTGGTCCTGTCAGGGTAAGAATTCAGGGTAATCTTGGTCCTGTCAGGGTAAGAATTCAGGGTAATCTTGGTCTTGTCAGGGTAAGAGCTTCTTGCGGTAATATATCGTTATTTTTAATATTTAAACATGCATGACTAAACCATTAAATTAATGTTGGGTAATTTGACTAAACCTCATTAGCATACTCTCCTCCCTCATGTAACTAACGTAAACTTGTTAATGTTAAGTTTTACAAGAGACTTTTCGTTATTTTTAATTTTGAACATGTAATCAATGTTGGGTAATTTGACTAAAATTACCTAACACAAACTGTTAATGTTAAGTTTTAAAAGAGACTTTTCGTTATTTTTCATTTTCAAACATGCATGGCTGAACCATTAAATCAAGGTTGGATTATTTGACTAAACTTAACTAACGCAAACTTGCGAATGTTAAGTTTTAAAAGAGACTCACCGTTATGCAGCTAAAGGCCTTAGGGTGTTATACGTCATATTAATGTATCTGATACATAATTGTTGTCAGTGCTTTCAAGTAGCTATTTTATATATATTAAAAGTGCATTTTTGATAATAAATGAGTTTTGTTATTATGGAAATGACATACGGTGTGCAAATCATATGTATGTTCGTTAAACGGTGAGCATTATACTCTACCTATATTGCACTAACGTAGTAAATGTCAAGAATAATAATAATAATGATTTTCGCTTGTTACGTATTTGATAAGCTTGATTTATCGATTTTTGAATGCCGTAAATGCAATTTAAGGGATTCTTCTGACACTTACTCATGGCAGCACATGTCGAGCGTGTGGTTATATTTGATGGTGCCCCCACATTTCGAAATCGTAATTTTTTAACATGTTTTAAACAATGAAAACGTGACATTTTCTATATGTATACTGTTGCTGCTAATTTATATTTTATTCTTTGACAGAGATTTTTGGTAATATCTCATGTGTCTATAGCCTAACCTATAACCTATAAATGGCAAACCTCTCTGACTTTCAAAGAGGCCAAATTGTTGGTGCCCGTATGGCAGGTGCTAGCGTGACAGAAACTTCCCGAATGCTTGACGTTTTTAGAGGTACTGTCTTAAAAGGAATAAAAATTTCATCAGCAAATCACAGGTCTAAGCCGAAATTGTCTGAGAGGGACCGTCGTTACATAAATAGAATTGTGAGGGACAATCGAAAGACCACGGCTGTTAAAATTATTGCAAACCTCAATGGAATCCTTCAGAACCCAGGTTCCATGAAGACTGTCCGCCGAGAGCTGCCCAGGCCTGGATTCAATGAATGAGCTGCAATAAGAAAACCTCCAGAATCAGTCCCTCGAACAGTGGAAAAATGTGATTTCTCTGACGAATCATCGTTTACCTTATTTCCGAGTTTACGTTTGGAGACAGCCAAAAGAGTCATTTAATCCCGACTGCCTCCTCCCAACCGTATAACATGGCGAGGGATCTGAGATGATCTGGGATGCTATTTTTGGAAATCCGGCGGACCAAAGATCTCTCTTGGCGAAAGAATCAACAACCGCGAATATTTGGGAATTTTTGGAAGACCAAGTTCATCCAATGGTTCAATCACTGTTCCCGGGGGAGAAGGCCATCTTTCAAGGTGATAATGCTCCGATCCATACAGCTGAAACTGTTAAAAACAATATAACTCAGTACTCAATGCACTGAGTGACAGAGAGCGCATTTTTTCGTCGACGAAAACTTGAGGTCACGGACGGACAGACGGACGGACAGACAGACAGACAGACAGACAGACGGACATGGCAAGCACAATAGTGCATTTTTTCCATAAATGAGAAAATGCGCTAAAAATGGCACGATGAACATTCCAATGAAGTTGAGCATCTCATTTGGCCACCACAATCACCAGACCTGCCAGAGCATATTATCGAGCATTTATGGTTGATTTAAGAGGTGCAAGTCAGAAGGAGATTCCCGCAGCCATCGTCTTTAAAAAAGCTGGAGGAGTGTTAACTGAAGAATGGGTTAAAATTTCTTCGGAAACAATTCACATTTTAGTTTGTATGAATCAATACCTCTGAAAATTTAGGCTGTAATTGCCGCAAAAGGTGGATCTACAGTCCTACACCATAATAAGATATGTTATGTGAATTTCTCAGGTGTTCACTTATTTTGTCTAACCCCTGTATAAGAAACTGCTCGGACTAAATTTAGACTTGCACAATTTAAATTATGAGAGTATTTTCAAACGTTGAAATGACCAAATATAGTTTAGGCCAAATAATTTACATAAGATTATCTGCAAGCTTGTGCCGCTGATGCAGAATAATGGACGTGAACGCTAACATTAACGACGACAATGGTCCTGATTTACCCAACTGCAAATTGTGACTGAATAAATATATTCTAAATAGTGAAGTTCCAAGATAGTTCAAAACTTTCAAGATATATTATTTTCTTTGCTGAGCGTCGTGATCCAGTCTACAGGTTATCTCTGTCAGTCTACAAAGCAAACTTCGTGTCGAGTTTTAAAGAATTTCGAAGAGTCGCTGACAACAACTTTTTAGCGTCCAAAAGTGTCGCGTGATTCTACATAAACGCGCCGATACCTTGACCCTAACTACAATTTTAATTGTAAATAGGCATTTGAAAAATTTCAAATATTGGATTAAAGGAGAGATTGGTTGATTTGAGATTAAACTACAACAATGACAGGAGCTGTAGAGATCCATGAGTGGAAATGACACAAGTTGTTTGATTCAAGCACAAGGCTTCACTCAAGCACAAGGCTTCAATTATTTCTTCGTTGTGAATGAACATTTCTAAATTGCTCCATAGAAGGCCTAAGTGGGAAAAAGTAGCACCTTCAACAACTTCAATATAATAATGAATTTGAATTCGAAGTTTACAAAAAAAAAATAATGATTAAAATAATTTTGTTTGGCCAAAAATTTTTAATGTCGTTTTTATTTTCTCTACAACACTTCAAAGTATTAAATAATTTAAGATTTAATTTATTAAATTTAAACTTCGTACTTAAAGAATAGTTAAAGGAATGTTTCGAACGCACCATATGTTCGGAAATTCATTCGCTCTCACGTACCTTAATTTCGCCCCAATGCGTCTCATTGTGGGCAGAATCAAAGCACAGCGCGCGCCTGGTTGCTGATCCGGCACTCTGAGCTCCGACGCTGCCATGCATAATGTAGCGGCTCTTCAGGCCTGCAGCGGCTCTTCAGGCCTGCAGCGGCTCTTCAGACCTGCAGCTGCAGCGGCTCTTCAGGCATGCAGCTGCAGCGGCTCTTCAGGCCTGCAGCTGCAGCGGCTCTTCAGGCATGCAGCTGCAGCGGCTCTTCAGACCTGCAGCTGCAGCGGCTCTTCAGACCTGCAGCTGCAGCAGCTCTTCAGACCTACAGCTGCAGCAGCTCTTCAGACCTGCAGCTGCAGCGGCTCTTCAGACCTGCAGCTGCAGCGGCTCTTCAGACCTGCAGCTGCAGCGGCTCTTCAGACCTGCAGCTGCAGCAGCTCTTCAGACCTACAGCTGCAGCGGCTCTTCAGACCTGCAGCTGCAGCAGCTCTTCAGACCTACAGCTGCAGCGGCTCTTCAGACCTGCAGCTGCAGCGGCTCTTCAGGCCTGCAGCGGCAGAGGCATCCTCTGCATAATTCGGCTGAATCTCTGCAGAGCCTTCAATGATATAACTGAAGTTGCTTCGTCTTTCAGTAAATGCAGTAACCTGCTCAACCTGTCAGTCAGTGAAGTAAACTTTTGTGCATGTCTGTCAATACAATAACTTGAAGTTTGAATATAAGAAAAAAGACAAGTAAGTTCAATATATCTTCTGAAAAGACGCTCAGGAGACCAGCTCCATCATCTGTTAACAAAATCTGAACAAATACAGGCACACACAATTTATAAAGAGTCAAATTTACGCATAAACTTGAACCTAAGTACCTAAGTACCATATCTGTGATATTCGCAGATATTCCAAAATTTTAAGATCCGAAGCCCCAGAGTTGGAACCAAGAATCTTCAAATCGCTCTTCGAAACAGTCGCGTCACAAGGATCAGCGTGAACGCTTAAAACAAAATGGGACCGGTGAGCAAGCGGGAGTTCATTACGATATATCCTGCCGCGGTGTTAGGCCGTCCTGATATACACAACTGTTTTTATTAATCAATGCATCCGGACAGGAAAAACATCCTCGTACATAAAAAAATGAATAAATTTTGAGTTTATTGTATTGATGTTCTACTACTGGTTTTGTTACAGGTCGCAGTGGTCGGTACCCCACAGGTCACTGGTACAGTGTCCGTTGCAATGTTCTACCACTATTTCTGCTGCAGGTCGCAGTGGTCGCTACCTCACAGGTCACTGGTGCAGTTTTGGTTGCGATGTCTTACCATACTAATTCTGTTACAAGTCGCAGTGGGCGGTGCCTCACAGATCACTGTTGCAGTTTCTGTTGCGATGTTTTACCACACTAATTCTGTTGCAGGTCGCAGTGGTCGGTACCTCACAGGTCATTAGTGCAGTACTTGTTCAGCGCTAACAGGTCTGCCGCGTTGCGTCGTCACCATTTCTACTTCTCCACGTCCATCCTCCCTGACGAGATGTTCACCGCCACAGTCCTGCAAAACTCGCCCCTCAGGTGGGAAGGTCTGGGAGAACTTGCTACGACTTTTCCATTATGTTGAGCAGGAAATTCACTAGAAGTTGAGTTGGAGTGTAAGTTGACAATATGAAACAACCTTTCGCTCATACTGAGTAAGAATTTCACTTGAGCTTGTGTTGGAGAGTCATTTGACAACTTGCAACGACCTTTCGCTAATGTTGAATTGGAAATTCAATTGAGTTTGAGTTGAAGAGTAAGTTGGAGTAAGCAACTTACCACGACCCTGGCAACTTGCCACGACCCTTTCTTAATCATATTTCCATGCCTTCAAGCAGATTGTGGTTTTTAAATACAGCAAAATAATATATTATTTTTTCTCATATAATTAATGTAATTACTATCTAACTATAACGTAAACTCAACTCAACAGTTCAATTCTCATCTCGTTCCATCGTATGACTTAACAAACGTACGCGCGCGCATACATCAACGCAATTCCATGAGCAGGAGATGGTAATGGTTCGCTCCAATACCAGCGTCTGACAGGATACAGCCTGACCAGCTGCTCTTTTAGGTTATATTACGCAGAATCGGCCCATTGTGCAGTAGATTCCCACAATAAGCACGTAATTAGCATCCGAATAGAGTATGTGGCCAATTTGCTCCTGATTCACCTATTAGACGAGGGAATGGAGTCCGGGGCGATTCAGAATGGAGTCTGAATTTAGACTGGGATATTTACTGAAGAGTGGACTGTCACTTATACTCAGTTCACACATAAAGAAAATGAATATCTTATACAAAAACTGAAACATGGGATACAACTTTGAATTCCAATATGAAGGTAATATAATTTTTCTGCTATATCCCGGTATAAAAAAAGTCATTTATGAATTTGAAAGTATCACCATAAGAAAATTGTCTCAACATTTCAATTGCAAAGAACTCTCACTTCCCTGAACAGTATTTTACGATACGAGCTACCAACTAAGTTTGACTGACATCACGTGTGCCGTATACCGTAGGATTATACGTGTACTGTGGGATCATACGTGTAGTGTGGGATCATACGTGTACAATGTTATCATACATATCTTCACTGCTTATATACTATGATTGGCGCTACTTAAATTAGAGTTCGAACGCCATTGCGTGATAGCGTTTCAATGTTCTCTAGTCATTGCATTTCGTTTCTCGGTATTTTGCATTTTGGAGCTGCCAGGGTAGTTTTAATCTTGTCCATCATGTTATACTCTCCCAAAATTACCCATTGTTTTAATATGTTCGGTTGCCGAGCAAGGCCTTTGGACAAAAGCCGCTTGGCGCCAAATAAAGTTCTTCTTTTACGGCCCGTTTATTGAAATTTATGACGCTCAGCGGCTCATCGATTTCACGCAACTCGACACCAAGTCTCGCTTCCAAAACCTTTCCAGTTTATGACACGCAATAAACTGTAACAGTTTTGACACGCCTGTGAACTGCTTGATATAGAAAAAAGTTCAATAAACTGTAACAGTTTCGACACGCGTGTGAACTGCTTGATACAGCCATAAGTTCAATAAACTGTAACAGTGTTGACACGCATGACTACTGCATGATATAGCCATAAGTTCAATAAACTCTTACAGTTTTGACACGTGTGAACAGCCTGATTTAGTCATTAGCTCAATAAACTGTAACAGTTTTAACACGCAAGTCTACTGCTTGATATAGCCATAAGTTCAATAAACTGTAACAGTTTCGACACGCATGACTACTGCATGATATAGCCATAAGTTCAATAAACTTTAAGAGTGTTGACATGCATGTCTACTGCATGATGACATAGCCATAAGTTCAACAAACTGTAACAGTTTTGACACGCATTTCAACTGCATGATATAGCCATAAGTTCAATAAACTTTAACAGTGTTGACATGCATGTCTACTGCATGATGACATAGCCATAAGTTCAACAAACTGTACAGTTTTGATACGCATGTCAACAGCATGATACAGCCATTAGTTCAATAATCTGTAACAGTTTTGACACGCCTGTGAAGTGCTTGCTATAGCCATAAGTTCAATAAACTGTAGCAGTTTTGACACGCATGTCTACTGCATGATATAGCCATAAGTTCAATAAACTGTACAGTTTTGACACGCATGTCTACTGCATAATATAGCCATACGTTCAATAAACTGTACAGTTTTGACACGCATGTCTACTGCATGATACAGCCATTAGTTCAATAATCTGTAACAGTTTTGACACGCCTGTGAACTGCTTGCTATAGCCATAAATTCAACAAACTGTACAGTTTTGACACGCATGTCAACTGCATGACATAACCATAAATTCAATTTTTCAGCACGGTGCAGCGAGCGCCTGCAACTAACGTCACCTCCGTTAAATGCAATCGTCCTTTGATCTGCGAACGCTAATCTGTTCCGAGGTTGTGAGATATCGGAGGGCTCCCTTGATTAAAATCTTGACATTCGCACGGGAGGCCAGGAAGCAAATGATCGATGACGACCAAAATTCTGCTTTATTTCCATAAGTGGGGCGATTTGCTCAGTTCATGCACCAGTTTTTTATTGCTTATCCTGCTGGAATATTCCAGTGCAGGTATCGGGAGTAGAGACTTGCAGGATACTTGCCTTGCAGGAGAGGAGACTTGCAGGATACTTGCCTTGTAGGAGAGGAGACTTGCAGGATACTTGCCTTGCAGGAGAGGAGCCTTGCAGGATACTTGCCTTGCAGGAGAGGAGCCTTGCAGGATTCTTGCCTTGCAGGAGAGGATACTTACAGGATACATGCCTTGCTCTCCTAATGGAGGATACTGTTCACTTACAGGATACACGCCTTGTCCTCCTTATGGAGAATAATGTTCACTTACAGGATACACGCCTTGTCCTCCTTACGGAGGATAATGTTCACTTACAGGATACACGCCTTGTCCTCCTTATGGAGAATAATGTTCACTTACAGGATACACGCCTTGTCCTCCTTATGGAGAATAATGTTCACTTACAGGATACACGCCTTGTCCTCCTTATGGAGAATAATGTTCACTTACAGGATACACGCCTTGTCCTCCTTATGGAGGATAATGTTCACTTACAGGATACACGCCTTGTCCTCCTTATGGAGGATAATGTTCACTTAAGCCTCATGGGTGAAAATCTTTGCATGAGAAGCAGCTGTGGTTGTCGGTCTAAAGCTGGTGAAGTAAAGTGACAATTTAAAATTCGCAAGGAAATATTGTTTGCCTTTGGATTTCGACTGAAATTGTTTGCTGGATGTTTGTGGCAAAATATTGTTTATGAAAATTTGTTGGCGAAATAAAGGGTAATAAAGATTCTAGGCCTCGTTCAGTAAAACATTTTATTGCGAAAAGTAACGAGGAAAATGTCACCGATCGACACTTGAATGCACCAATAAAGTCCGCGTGGCACACTTCGAGCCAAAAATGCACCCGATCCACATTTGTATAAATACGAACGCGGATGTGAAACCACTTTATTCTTGTGCGGAATATCTAATTTATAAATATTTAAAAGTCTGCCAGCATTTATTTTCATTTCCATTAAGTTTCATGCAAGCGCACGTGGAAATATTCCGTGAGACAGCCATTGTTGCGTCGCACGAGGCTTAAGACGGCGTTTCGTTTGCTTCTTTTCTCGGGAGAGAAAGGAAGTTTGAGCTTCTTTAAGATACCCTCTTTAATGAGGGCTCCGTGGACAATGCCCAAGAGGCTCTCTTTGTGAGGGCTGTGTGTTGTGAGACCTCTCTGCTCCTGTACTGTACTCTGTCTCACCTCACTCTTTGGGGGGGCTGTGTGTTGTGAGACCTCTCTCTGCTCCTGTACTATACACTGACTCACCTCACTCGTTGTGAGGGCTGTGAGTTGTGAGACTCCTCTCTGCTTCTGTACTGTACTCTGACTCACAACACTCTTTGTGAGGGCTGTTTGTTGTGAGACCTCTCTGCTCCTGTACTGTACTCTGACTTGCCTCACTCTGATAATAATAAGTCACTTACACTCTGCTCTTATACCTACTCTAATCACTTTACCCATAACGACTCAGCCTCACTTTTATATCATTTCCTTCACTTGGCTCATTTCCAGCCACTCTCACTTCTATCCCTATCCTCTCGCTGTCCTCTTTTATATTCACTCTAAATTTGCTCAAACCAATTTCGCTCTTCCGATAATAAGTAACGTACAGCAGCTTAGCCCCATACTCCTATCCTCCCCTTCATTCTGCTAATTTTGAGCTACCCTCACTCTACCATCCTCTCTTTCATTCTGCTAATTTTGAGCTACCTTCACTCTACCATCTTCTTTTTCACTCTGCTAATTTTGAGCTACCTTCACTCTACCATCCTCTCTTTCATTCTGCTACTTTTGAGCTACCCTCACTCTACCATCCTCTCTTTCAGTCTGCTAATTTTGAGCTATTTTCACTCTACCATCCTCTTTTTCACTCTGCTAATTTTGAGCTACCTTCACTCTACCATCCTCTCTTTCACTCTGCTTTTGAGCTACCTTCACTCTACCATCCTCTCTTTCAGTCTGCTAATTTTGAGCTATTTTCACTCTACCATCCTCTTTTTCACACTGCTAATTTTGAGCTACCTTCACTCTACCATCCTCTCTTTCACTCTGCTAATTTTGAGCTACCTTCACTCTACCATATTCTCTTTCACCCTGCTAATTTTAAGCAACCTTCACTCTACCATCTTCTATTTTACTCTACCAATTATTGGCTAGCCTCACTCTACCATTCTTTCCCTCACTGCCAAATTATGAGCTACCCTCACTCTGCCATCCTCTATTTCACTCTACCAATTATTTGATATCGTCACTTTATTAGTAAGAATATTGCCCCCTGCACCCGAATTTTTCCTCGCAAAGTATAACATTTCAAAAACTACATTGCATCACTCAGGAGTTTTCACTTCGACAATCCCGAGTCATAATTTTATATCGAATTATGACTATTTTAACTGCATATGCAGCTACAGTTATGTATGATATTCTTATGCATTATTTTATTTTGTCTATTTGTTATATTTTTTTCATTCTTTAACACTGACAAAATTTTGTCCTTTCACGTAAGTGCTTTTAAATTTCTTAAAATAATTAACAAAGTTGCCCTGTAATAGAACCTTTAGTGTTATTTCTGGCAACAGGAACAGGATTCGCTCTTTAATGTAAGTGCTTTTAAATTTCTCAAGATAATTAACGAAGATGCCCTGTAATTAAACCTTGATTGTAGTTTCTGCCAACAGGAACAGGACGCTGAACGTCTCCCTTCATTGGCTCAAAGCTTACCAGAAGCGGTCAGCGCTGCAGCTCTGCAGGCACACTCACGAGGCCGACTTCTGTGGCCAGGTGGGTGCCCGCTGGTCAGCATGCACTCCGCTGCTGGAGCTCAGGTCATGTTGATCTCCACTTGGTGCAGCAATGTTTATATGTGAAATGAAAACAACATTCGAGTTCCATCTCGTTTCTAAATTTCGATTGATTTATATAATAATTTCCTGCATTTTTGCATATTTTGTCAATAAATTCATACAATTTATTTACCTCTATTTTAAAAGATGCATTATCTTTTATAATAATAAATGCTCATATCGCTATCCCGAAAATAATGCCTTCATGTCGGTATTTCTCACAATAGTCCACGGTAAATCAGCCTGACCTTTCAGTATCTCTCACTAATAGTCCACGGTAAATCAGCCTAACATTTCAGTATCTTCCACCAATGAAACACTGTAAATCAGCTTAACTTTTCAGTTTCTCTCACCAATGATCTACGGTAAATCAGCCTAACATTTTAGTATCTTTCATCAATAGTTCACGGTACGTCAACATAACATTTCAGTATCGTTCACCAATAGTCCACGGTTAATTAGCCTAACATTTCGCTATTTCTCACCAGATGTTGACGGTAAATCAGCCGAACATTTCGGTATAACTCACCTAAAGTCCACGGAAGATTAGTCTAACATATCAGTATTTCTCCCCTCAAAAGTTCACGGTTGATCAGCCTAACATTTCAGTAACTCTTATCAAAAGTACACTGATAATCAGCTTAACATTTCAGTATCTCTCACCAAAAGTCCACGGTTGATCATCCTAACATTTCAGTATCTTCCACCAATAGTCCACTGTACATCAGCCTAACATATCAATATCTTTCCTCTCTGCCAGGGTCCAAGCACGATTGAATCCTCAGACTGGCCTGCGCTGCGGGAAGCTTCTCACCGATATTTCTTTGCCAGGAAATTCAACACTTCTTTCAATTCCTCTTCTTCATCCACTCTTCCTCCTGCCACTGAAGCAACTCGAGACAAGGTCGCCCATCACCAGAGACAAGGATATTATGAAGACATCCTGCGACACGTCAGTCACAGCCTCATCAGACAGATGGTCAGGATGTCCTTGGATAAATTAATCCTTCAAGGACAGTTGGATAAAACGTTGTTGTGGGACGGATCCGCAGACTACAAGCTACGGGTTCGTAGTTCTTCGTCTCGTTTTATTGAATTGTATTTAATCGTCAATAATTTTGATGAATTTGTATGAATTTATGAATTCAGTGAATATTCATTAGCCCTTATAGCAATACATTGGGAAAATTTATTAATTGAAATTATAGGAAAAATTGAAACTTTTATACATAAATTATAGAAAAAATTGAAACTTTAAATATGAAAACCTGAAAGACATTTTGTATTGATTTACTGTGTGATACAATGCCAACATTCAATCGATATTACTGTATCTTTAAATGACTCTCTTTCGTGATAATTAAACGATATGAAATTGACATCATTTCATAATCCCGCTAGATCATTCATATCTGAAAAATTACCCTCTACATGAATTGCATTCATCATCAACAGATGGCATTGTCAGTCAAGAAGATGATTGTTATTATTGAAGTTATTAAATAAGATTAATTTATTTTACGCGTGATTCTTTAGTTATAGTTAAGGTAATTCTAGTTAATTATAGTTAAGGTAAGGAACTTGCTAATTTATTCTGGAATGTATGTAATAATGGTCATTTTTTGTGTTGGAATACCAAGGGAAAGTGCTATCGTTTTTAAAGTAAACCAGGAGTTTCTTATTCAACGGTGTTAGATAAATCGCGTGTATTTGACGGTGGCGAATTGTTTGTCAATGACGGCAGAACTTTATGTTAAAGTTTAATTACTATTGTAAATTTTTGTTATGTTTCTTATAATTTTATAATCAACTACATTCTAGGACATATATTATGTGATTATTTTTAGCTATGAATTTAGAAAATAATATTTTTTACCTAATAATTAAATTTAATTAAATAATTAGGTAATAATCAATTAAATTATTAGGTGATAATTAATTAAATTATTAGGTAATAAATAATTAATTATTTGGTAATAATTAATTAAATTTTGCTTAAAATTATATATTATATAATAGTTATTTTTAGCTAATAGCTCATTAAAAACCATAAGGGAATAGTAAACATTACCCGTTTACTTTCACTGCGCAGTTTTTGCCGCAGCTAGAGAGCCCTCACCCCTGCTGCGACCTGCCCTACCAGCTCGGCTACAAGATGGTACAGCATTTCTCCGCCGTCTTGGACTTCTCGCTGCCTCTGAGCGACGTGAGTCGCGCTCTTAAGGCGGATTATCTCGGGCTTTTATGTTAACAAATTCAGCTTTACTTCTGTGCTCAGATGACTGAAAATCCCGGCTCAGCGTCGCTCTCCTGCACGGTACGCAGGCTCTGAGCTGATCGGGGGTGGCGATGTTGAGGAGTGGCTTTATAGGGTAGGGCAAATGAGGGCAACTGAGGGCTACTGAGGGTAACAGGGGGCAACTGAGGGCAATTGAGGGCAACTGAGGGTAACTGAGGGCAACTGAGGGTAACTGGGGGCAACTGAGGGTAACTGAGGGCAACTGAGGGTAACTGGGGGCAACTGAGGGTAACTGAGGGTAACTGAGGGCAACTGAGGGTAACTGGGGGCAACTGAGGGTAACTGAGGGCAACTGAGGGTAACAGGGGGCAACTGAGGGTAATTGAGGGCAACTGAGGGTAACTGGGGGCAACTGAGGGTAACTGAGGGCAATTGAGGGCAATTGAGGGCAACTGAGGGCAACTGAGGGTAACAGGGGGCAACTGAGGGCAATTGAGGGCAACTGAGGGTGTCTGGGGGAAACTGAGGGTAACTGGGGGCAACTGTGGGTAACTGAGGGCAACTGAGGGTAACTGAGGGCTACTGAGGGTAACTGAGGGTAACTGCGGGCAACTGAGGGTAACTGAGGGCAACTGAGGGTAACAGGGGGCAACTGAGGGTAACTGAAGGCAACTGAGGGTAACTGAGGCAACTGAGGGTGACTGAGTGCAGCCAAGGGCCCATAAGGGCAACTGAAGGTCCTCATGGGCCTATATGTTACCCCAGATATTCGAGTGTGAATGAATGCAACTGAGGGCAACTGAGGGCAACTGAGGGCAACTGAGGGCAACTGAGGGCAACTGAGGGCAACTGAGGGCAACTGAGGGAAACTGAAGGCTACTGAGGGTAATTGAATGTAGCCTAGGGCACATGAAGGCAACTGAGGCAACTGAGGGCAACTAAGGGCAACTGAGGGTAACTGGGGTAACTGAGGGTAACTGAGGGTAACTGAGGGTAACTGAGGGTAACTGAGGGTAACTGAGGGTAACTGAGGGTACCTGAGGGTAACTTAGGGTAACTGAGGGTAACTGAGGGAGAGAGTGAGATTAAGGCAACTGAGGGCAGACGAGGGTACCTGTTCATTACCTCATGTATAATTAGCGGCTCGCGATAATTGAGATCTCAGGGTACTTACATCTGAGGTCCTCTCCAAGTTTAATATTAATGAGCTTCTCAGTTACTGAGAGCTGCAATAGACATATGTAAACACGAGTGCCCGGGCGAGAACTTTAATTCATTATAGATTCGGGTAAACTATATTGCTGGAACTGCATGTGCACTAAGGTTAGGCTTCCTAAGTGTGCCACGTGTCTTAATGGTTTAGGTAGGCTGGCTTAGTATGACTAGCTTAGTAAGAGTGACGCTAAAGTAGCCCTCACAGTGGCTCAATGAATGACTGAAGAAGCTTAGAAATTAGAGATAAACAAGTGACGACTTTACGCAAGCTAAATAAGTGACTGTGCACAAGCCGAGCAAGTGACTGTACGCTAGCTAAATAAGTGACTGTACACAAGCCGAGCAAGTGACTGTACACTAGCTAAATAAGTGACTGTACACAAGCCGAGCAAGTGACTGTACACTAGCTAAATAAGTGACTGTGCACAAGCCAAGTAAATGACTGTACACAAGCCAAGTAAATGACTGCACACAAGCCAAGTAAATGACTGTACACAAGATAAGTAAATGACTGTGCACAAGCCAAGTAAATGACTGTACACAAGCCAAGTAAATGACTGTACACAAGCCAAGTAAGTGACTGTACACAAGCCAAGCAAGTGAGTGACTGTAGTTAAATTAAAGACCGTACACCTACACTGCCAGTGACTGTACATTTACTCAGCTAGTGACTGAACACAAGCCAGGCAAGTGACTGTACACAAGCTATACCAGTAACTGTACACAAGCCAAGCAAGTGACTGTAGTTAAATTAAAGACTGTACACCTACACTGCCAGTGACTGCACATCTACTCAGCCAGTGACTGTACACATACATAGGACTGTACACAGTAGACTGTTTGCCTCATCAGCAGAAGGCAACAGCGCCTGATTGGCTCAACCCTCAGCCAATTTCCCTCAGTGTTGCAGTGCTGAGGGGAAATCAATGTTAATTATTATTATTAGAGGCATTTCTCTAACTTTTAAGGAAAAAAATTCTTAGTTACGCGAGTTGCACTTACGAAATGATAAGAGTTCCGTAACGATTAAATAGTAGACCTGAATTTCAGTAAATAAGATACGAGTTAAGTTCTCAAGGCCAAATCGACGATGCAGACAGTCCATTGATCGTCCGTTGATCATTAATCGTCAACTAATCGTCCGTTGATCACCCGTTGATCGTCAACTAATCGTCCATTGATTATTGATCATCAACTAATCGTCCATTGATCATTGATCGTCAACTAATCGTCCGCTGATCATCCGTTGATCGACAACTAATCGTCCATTGATCGGCATGTTTTTTAGCAGTTCTCGCATGCAAATAGCATAGGAATAACCACGCGAATGAGAAGTAATTGTTCCTAGTAGCAATCTAATCCTTGCCACAATCTGTTCCTAGCACCAATGTAAATCCTAGGAACAATCTAATCCTTGCAGCGATCTGTTCCTAGCACCAATGTAATCCTTGGAGTAATCTCGTCCTAGCATCAATTAAACCCTAAAAACAATCTATTCATAGCAGCAATTTACTCTTTGCAGTAATCTGTTCCTAGCAGAAATCTAATCCCTTCAGGTAATCTATTTCAAGCAGCAATCCAGTCCCAGCAGCAATCTGTTCCTAGCATAAATTTAATCCTTGCAGCAATCTGTTCCTAGCAGCAATCCAGTCCCAGCAGCAATCTGTTCCTAGCATAAATTTAATCCTTGCAGCAATCTGTTACTAGCAGCAATCAAGTCCCTGCCGCAATCTATTCCAAGCAGCAATCCAGTCCTAGCTGCAATCTGTTCCCAGCAGCAATCCAATCCCAGCAGCAATCTAGCTCCAGCAGCAATCTGCTCCTAGCAGCAATCCAGTCCCAGCAGCAGCAATCTATTCCAAGCAGCAATCCAGTCCCAGCAGCAATCAGGCCTATGCCCAAATCTGCCCATATTCACCGCCGCAGAAATTCAATCAAGGACGGGGATTTTTGTTCGCAGTCCGCAGGCCGCGGGTAAAATAAAATTAAGCCACTCAGCCAGTGCCACTCAGCCAGTGCCATTCAGTCAATGCCACTCAGCCAGTGCCACTCAGCCAGTGCCACTCGGCCAGTGTCATTCAGTCAATACCGCTCAGCCAGTGCCACTCAGCCAGTGCCATTCAGTCAATACCACTCAGCCAGTGCCACTCAGTCAGTGTCATCCAGTCAATACCACTCAGCCAGTGTCACTCAGTCAATTCCACTCAGCCAGTGCCACTCAGCCAGTGCCACTCAGCCAGTGCCACTCAGCCAGTGCCACTCAGCCAGTGCCACTCAGCCAGTGCCACTCAGCCAGTGCCACTCAGTCAGTGTTATTCAGTCAATACCACTCAGTCAGTGCCACTCAGTCAGTGTTATTCAGTCAATACCACTCAGTCAGTGCCACTCAGCCAGTTTCACTAAGCCAATTGGTAGCGGCAATCCAGAAAATGAGCTTCGTAATTTTCGAACTGTCATCTTGACATCCCTTGCCTGTAGGCTCGACTTCCTAGTCGAGCCTAGACAAAGTTTTTTGAGAGAAGTAGACTCGACTTCTAGAAGTTTTTTTTGTTCCCATCGACAATAAATAAACGGCGCGGTGGCGCCATATACTGGCGCTATGCAATCACAAATTACGGCACAGTGGCCTCGGGCCATAAACTTGTGGCACTATAGACTGTGTCTCGGAGAAACTATAGTTGATGTGGCAGTGCCATTGTTTTTGTAGTGATTTGGCAGCCGCCAAGGACCGAATATCTCGATGCTGCTTCACTGTAAGAAGGTTTTACTATTTATTGTCGTACAATAGCACCAGAAAACACAAAAGGAGGTATAGTGGCAGCACAATTCTTAATGAATGTTATGCTATACATAGTGGTTTCCCTATTTATTGTCGTACAATGGCACCAGAGAACACCAGGGGAGGTATAGTAGCAGAACAATTCTTAATGAATGTTATTGTTATGAACATATATTCGTTATGAATGTTATACAAGAAAGCACTATACATAGTACTTTCACTATTTATTATCGTACAATGGCACCAGACATCACCAGGGGAGGTATAGTAGCAGAACAATTCTTAATGAATGTTATTTATTGATAATGCTAGTCACAATACTTGAGTTACTCCTAATAAATGTCCTAGGGTAAGATTATGCGTGCGCGGAGTCGCATCATACCCCAGAAGACAATGTGGCAGAACAATTCCTAATTAATGCTATGTATTATGTATAAATTATACGAGTCACAATACTTGAGTTGTTCCTAATAAATGTCCTAGGGTAAGATTTTGCGTGCGCGGAGCCGCATCATACCGCAGAAGATGTTCGCATGTTACCCTGACGGTCACCTGAGAGCCTTACGCGTTACCACCTGGCCAGCCAACGCCCTCAGCCTGCGCCATCTGGACAGCGAGGTGAGCCATCTGGACAGCGATGTGAGCCATCTTGACAGCGAGGCCATCTGGACAGCGAGGTGAGCCATCTGGACAGCGAGGTGAGCCATCTGGACATCGAGGTGAGCCATCTGGACAGCGAGGTGAGCCATCTGGACAGCGAGGTGAGCCATCTGGACAGTGAGGTGAGCCATCTGGACAGCGATATTTAATAATATTAAAAATCAAGCTAACAATGGACCAATTATTTAGAGCTTTTTATCTGATGCAAATTTCCAATAACAGCTGCACCGCAAAAAAATGTTAAAGCATTAAATTTTATATACTTATTTAGCGTTGCGTTTATAGAGTAGCCGTGGTTATTTTATAGAATGACAGTCGTTATTTTATAGAGTGACCGACTGACCGTAGTTATTTTAAATGAACATTGTCGACAGCAAAATATCTCGGGCAACTCTTAACAACTTTGTCCTTGTTAAGACTGTTGCCATCTGTCACCTGTTGACAGGGAGCCGTGCCGCCTCAGTCGTCCGTCAACTTGCCGCTGTCATCTCGGCCAGCTCCTGTCACCAACATTTACGTGGAGTTATGGCTACACGTCACCACACGCAGCGTCAACGAGGAGTGTGCCAGGAGGCGAGTAGCTCTATTGTGGGTACAATTAATGCCACGATTAATGTACTGGCAACAATAATAATGCTAATAATAATAAATAATTATATCAATAATAATACGTCGTGTAGCTTTCTTTGAAAAACTTTTTTATGTGGCGCATTTTTGTGGCAAAGTGTTTACTGGTGGCAAGCGTGACCACAGCTGTCATACATGCCACACATGCCACATATACCACACATGCCACACAAACTTGTTAATTTGCATATCATTATCATCATTATCATCATCACTATCATCGCAAGTGAACATGTTCATGAAATGTCCCGCTGCAACAGACGCGTTACAGCTGCTGGCGCGCCCCTACATCTGCTGCAGCTGAACATGACAGCTGTGACTGCTGCACCTCTGCGCTATCAGGTCGCCGTGCAAGACTACACTCAAACAACCCTGTCAGTTAAGTCAAACTCACGATAAATCATTAGTCTTAATATATAATTATTCGAATAAGGAAATAACGCTTTAAAAAAATTACTCAAAACTCAATTGAGATAATTTTTTCCGAAGTGGAAACACTGTCCTTGTAAGCCTGAACAATGGAATAAAAATCGGCTTCGCTCCAGAGAAGTAGGCTGTTATCTGACAGAGTTAATTACCACAAACCGATATTGCTTTATATGTTCAGCCAATTTGCATTTGTTATAAGTTTATCTTTATATATTATTATTTTTTGTCCAAATTAAATTTAGATAGAGAAATTACCCTCACGGATATTGTGAGATTTAATTTTACGCTAGGATTCACTGTTAAAATGTTATTCACTGTTATTCCTGATTGTAATAGGTATGTGCTTAAAACAAGAGAGGCTATTTATGCTCACCTGGGCTTGTGAGAGGCACGCTGTTGGGCGTGGTAAATTGGTCTGTAATTATGAGGTCTGCTATGCGTATTCACATCAGCCTGTGAGGCTCGAAACAACGTGTCAACAATAAATGATAATTTAGTCGCACAATACTGAGAATAATATCAATGCTGTCAACGATGGTAGCGAAGAAAATGAAAACGAAAAAGTGAATGCAAGTATTCTGAATACGGCTGACAATGCAGCAGAGCTTAACCGTGACATTAGCGGCAGGCCTTTCTCTCACCTTTCCTTGTCACTTAAATACTAGAGTTCTGCACCATTGCTGCCTCAAAATATTGTGACCGCATGGAGATGTTGGCATATAATTATTATTATTATTATTATTGTACGAAGAATTTATCATGGCGTCTGGTCATTTGAACTTGAGGTCTCTTATTGGCTCATCACAATATTGGCTCGTATTGTCCCATCTCAATATTGGCTCGTATTGTCTCATCACAATATTGGCTCGTATTGGCTCATCTCAATATTGGCTCGTATTGGCTCATCTCATTGGCTCGTATTGGCTCATCATATTATTGGCTCGTATTGGCTCATCACAATATTGGCTCTTATTGGCTCATAACAATATTAGCTCGTATTGGCTCATCACAATATTGGCTCGTATTGGCTCATCACAATATTGGCTCGTATTGGCTCATCACAATAATGNTTACAAGGCGCCTACACTCTAATACTTGAACAGGTGCGTGTTACAAGGCGCCTACACTCTACGACTTGAACAGGTGCGTGTTACGACAAGGAGTCTACACTCTACGACTTGAACAGGTGCGTGTTACGACAAGGCGCCTACACTCTACGACTTGAACAGGTGCGTGTTACGAAAAGGAGTCTACACTCTACGACTTGAACAGGTGCGTGTTACAAGGCGCCTACACTCTACGACTTGAACAGGTGCGTGTTACAAGGCCCTACACTCTACGACTTGAACAGGTGCGTGTTACGACAAGGTGCCTACACTTTACGACTTGAACAGGTGCGTGTTACGACAAGGAGTCTACACTCTACGACTTGAACAGGTGCGTGTTACAAGGCGCCTACACTCTACGACTTGAACAGGTGCGTGTTACGGCAAGGCGCCTACACTCTTCGACTTGAACAGGTGCGTGTTACAAGGCGCCTACACTCTACGACTTGAACAGGTGCGTGTTACGACAAGGCGCCTACACTCTACGACTTGAGCGGGTGCGAGTTACAAGGAGCCTACACTCTACGACTTTAGCAGGTGCGTGTTACAAGGCGCCTACACTACTTGAGCGGGTGCGAGTTACAAGGAGCCTACACTCTACGACTTGAACAGGTGCGTGTTACAAGGCGCCTACACTCTACGACTTGAGCGGGTGCGTGTTACGACAGTATGTGGTTTATCGTTAGCTTTATCATCGTCAGCACTATCATTTAACGATACAATATATACATCAACACAAAAGAGTCAAACCATTCATTTATATGTTTATATATTCAGCTAATTTGCATTATATAAGTTATAAGTTTATCTTTATATATTATTATTTTTTGTCCAAATGGAATTTTTTGTCTCAAAGAAGGAGAATAATTTGTCAGACGTAAAAAATGAATATCTATATAACAAGAAAACATGCAATAAATTCTTCCCTCGTTCTCTGCCCTCACTCGCCCGGCAGGAGGGCGTGGGCAACCCTCGCGTGTACTCGCTGCCCCTCGTCGTCCTGCCGAGCCCTCAGGGGGACGCTGCTGGGGAGGCGCCGCTGCAGGAGGAAGGTTGGGTGTTGCACCAGCAGCAGCTGGTTGGTGGTGTTGCACCAGCGGCAGCTGGTAGGTGGTGTTGCACCAGCAGTAGCTGGTTGGTGGTGTTGCACCAGCAGCAGCTGGTTGGTGGTGTTGCACCAGCAGCAGCTGGTTGGTGGTGTTGCACCAGCAGTAGCTGGTTGGTGGTGTTGCACCAGTAGCAGCTGGTAGGTGGTGTTGCACCAGCAGTAGCTGGTTGGTGGTGTTGCACCAGTAGCAACTGGTTGGTGGTGTTGCACCAGCTGCAGCTGGTTGGTGGTGTTGCACCAGCAGCAGCTGGTTGGTGGTGTTGCACCAGTAGCAACTGGTTGGTGGTGTTGCACCAGCAGCAGCTGGTTGGTGGTGTTGCAGCAGCTGGTTCCATGGCACCATCTGTCATAAGTTGGTTATCATCTTGCACGTTCTTCGTTGTGAAGAGCGCCTCGTACGAGATGCCTTCAAAGTTCCAACGTCGCATATTGCATATAATAAATTAAATATTTCCGTATAATATTTGTGGACAATATAGCCTGGACTTCCTCATTGTCTTCACAATGGTTGCAAAACGCACTCAGTTTTGCCTTCTAATTGATACATCTTAAAATAATGACCTACTTAATAAATTCGATGATGTATTAAGCCATCACAAAATATTTTACTCAATTACATAGAATTTAATTATTTTTCAATTTCGTAAAAACTAAACAGTAAAAAGATCACATATAAGGCCAGCAGAGGAAACTGCACTGCGTCCGAGACTCCCGTTACCGAATGCGTCTCTTTAAACTCATTACAGTACTACAGCGAAAAACACTGTTTATTGAAGGACGACATGTTCATTGTTACAATCCTCATCTACAGAGGAAAAAATTCAATGCCTTTAATGAGCTTTTATTATTCATTATTGACAGAAATTTTATTATAATTAATTAATTTGACGGTAAATTTCAAATTACGTTAAAAATTTTCAACTCATAGCATTTCAGATACACGCTGATTCCTTGTTATAACCAAATAAATTTGAAACTAAGCAAGGATCCAAATAATCTAACAAATTTCTAATTAATATTATTGAGGGAAACCCTTTTAATAATCCTGCAAGAAAGTATGATTTGCGTACTAGTGTCCTACAGGTTTCCTTTCCTGATATACAAAGACATGTTAAGTAATTGTATAAAATTAAAGTAAGAGTTCAATTTTCAGTGTAGACACTGCAAATTAGATCCTATGAAAGGATTCACTAACTAAATATTCTTAAAATTTTCCTATGGGACATTTTATATATGGATTTATGGCACTCATTAGGTTCGTCATGTTTTATTCTATTTTTGCTTCTAAAACTGGGTTGAAACTGGCGAACTGTTATATCATTCAAAGTTAAATGGACACCTGTTTTTGCACCGGTATTTATTTTTATGGAACCGCTGTTTTCTATTTATGTACTTATTCCTTATTTTAATGAATAAATAATATAAAATGCCAAAGATCAAATGAATTGGAGGATATTGGGATGGTTGTAGGGGAGGTGGAGACATCACTGTCTATTGTTTTCCTGAACTCTATAGCATTAGACATCCTAAGGCACAACGTGAGGCCAGTAATCACCTTATGAGTCAGCATCCTGTAACATTACAGATTTTGTCTAGAATAACGAACCGAATTCTTAATAACTGACAAAATTCCAAACATAAATCACCTAATATTAATTTACTTAAAAATTTATTCCACGACAACTTCAATTACGGACAAAATTCCCAACATTACTTACGGCAACTTTAATTACGGACAAAGTTCCCAACATAACCCACAGCAACTTTAATTACGGACAAAATAACCCAACATAACTCGCGGCAACTTTAATTGTGGACAAAATTCACAACATAACTTACGGCTTCTTAAATTACGGAAAAAATTCCCAACATAACACATGGCAACTTTAATTGTGGACAAAATTCCCAACATAATCCTTAGCATTTTAAATTGCGGAAAAATTTCCCAACATAATCCACCGCGTTTTAAGTTACGGACAAAACTCCCAACATAATCCACTGCATCATGAAATACGGATAAAATTTTCAACATAATCCAAGGCATCTTAAATTAAGGAAAAATTGCCAACATAACTCACCGCATTGCAATTTACCGACAAAATACACAAAATAATCCACCAAATTTAAATTCTCCACAAATCCCGGCAACTCATGCCGCGTGCAGGGGCGGGCGGCGGGCGGCGGCGGTGCCCCAACTGCGGATCGCTGGCGTCGGAGGCGCGTCCGCTGCCGCTGTTCGCACGGCGGCGGGACGACGTCTTGTACGGCAGCTGGACCGTCACATCCGCGGCCTTCCTGACAGTGCCGGGGGATGGAGGGGGCAGGTGGGGGAATGATTTGTGTCATGAAATAATATCTGTGTTTATCGATATACTTTGTCCTGTTTATATCCTGGAGAAGAAAAGATATCAATACCTAATGATGTACTTTGTCCTGTTTATATCCTTGGAAAGAAAAGATATCAGTTCTTAATGATATACTTTGTTTTGTTTATATCCTTGAGAAGAAATGATATCAATGCTTAACGATGATTTGATTTAATGGAATTTATGAGCAGAAAAGTTATTGCTGTAATATGTTCTTGATTGGAATATTTTCTCGATTATATTCCATTATCTGATGTTAATAAATCAACTTTTATTTACGTAGAGCATCAACAAGGACGTTCTAAATTTGTCAATATAAAATATTGTTGAAAAAATAATTCTATTTTCATTTAATTGGTCGTGAGCAGATAACAATTTGATTGTCGTTCA